AGAGAGAGAGAGAGAGAGAGAGAGAGAGAGAACGAACGAGTGCAATGGGAGACGCATGGCCGCACGCAGCGAAATAGAAGCATAGAAAATCATCGCACACGACACAAAGTAACACTATATGTGTCTATACAATGTATACAATGAGTGCATGCTGCTTATGTTACGGATTGTGTGTGTATGTGTTTTTTTTGCCAAAACGATGATAAGTTGTGTGCTCAGTGTTTTCATTATAAATAATGAACACATGGTTGTAATTCTGTTTTTCCCCCAGCTGCTCTTAAGACTTCGTCTCTCTTTTTCGACTGGTTTCTAGTATTCATAAACACATACGTTACATTACGGGAAAACGACGGATTGGCAAACAAATCGAACAATTCGGAAAATTGATTGGCATGACTTCGACTGTATGTCTACCTGTTCGTCCAAAATTTAATGCAAATGAGCATCGAAAAACATAATTCAATCGATTTCATGTTGCTAATCGACCACTTTTTTTCCTCCTTCTGATCTCAATCACGGTTGAATAATTCATTTTGTGCACATATTCGGAAAACACTTACGTTCATCGTTAAATGCTGTATTAAAATGCTGAGCGCAACAATGGATTTATTTGCACGTATGACATTCAAATCAACTGCTGCCGTCGGCTTCTGTTGCTGATTCGAATTCCGTGCGGCTTTATCCGGTATGGGTGACGAAGCAACGGCCGATGCAAAACGAACCGTCGTATCACCATCAGTTGAATCGACGATCGAGAACTCAATTAAACTCTCATTTGATTCACCATTGGCTTGAGCTGTACTTGCTTTGGCTTTTCCATTGATTTGCGGCACAGCTACTGCCTTGTGATTTGAGACTGCCACAGCCGCAGCAGACGTTTTACCATTACGATGAATCGTTGCTATTAGTGGCTGATGATGATCGTCGGTTGTCGCTAATTTCGTCGAATTTGTTCCGCTCTTCGTTTTGTGATTGTTATTGTTGATGCTGCTATTGTTATTATTTATGGTTGGCGAATGTGCTAGCGTCGACTGTAAACCGTGTTCTAAAGAAACAAAAAGAAGAATAGAGAAGGAAAAAAATAAACATTTTAATTTAAAGTTCTTTGCTCATTTCATTAAAATTGCCAATTAAAATCGTTAGATTCGCTCTTTACGTCATTCAAATGACTTAATTCATGCGAAATTTTAATAAATAAACATAACATTTTGCGATATGCGTAGTGAATTTTTGGTGTCCATTTCCTGAACAAACACCGTCCATACATCATTCGCCGCTGCCACCGCCGCACGGAATCAATGATTTATTTCACTACCGCTTTATTATTATTTGCCACACAAAATGCAAAACCATGTCGAATTCATTAGTTTCTTGTTAATAACAACGAAGAACCGTGAGCACTCAGGCAAATGTTGTGTGTGTGTGTGTGTGTGTTACGGTTATTGTTTCTGAACGCATTGTGTACACCTGCGTATGTTTCTTAAACCAACAGATTTTCTAGAGTCATAAAATATTTGTCTAGACTCATTGAGGCCAATTCAAGCGCATTTGTCAATTCCCAATTGCACTCATTTACTGGAATCATTGAGATAATCGACTGTTCATTGGATTTGTTCCAGTGTCGAATGAGGCGATTCAAGAAGATGAAGACCCTTTTGTGTTGTGCACACACATTTTCAGGTGGAAAAAATTCATGGCTTAGGTCATATTGGCTTTGGGCACAATATGTTTTTTGTTGCTTGTGAAAGAAAAAAGAAACACACACACAGAAAAAAAAATCTGCTCCGAAATATTCAATTGAAGTACCACTTCATTGGTTCCACTCGAGTCACACACATCATTATTTTATTTGCAGTTTGTTTTTGTGTTTATTTTTTGTTCGCTTTCCCATTTGCATGCAATGTTTCACATCGTGCAACTGTGCGTAACGTGCGCGAGCAAGCAAGCACTGCCGTTGAGCATTTTTGCCACAGAAATAGAGAGAGAGAAAAAAATGGCATTTTCTCAATAAAATGTAGTGAAATGTGAAAATAAACACAAAACATATTGCGACAAATTTTTCCACTCGAACAATTCGGTTAAGTGTAGTTTTTCTTTAACTTGATTTCTCGCATAGATTTTCAGCCGTTCATTTTTGTCAAGGTTTTGCTAAATCCAACCAATACTTAACCGAATTAGAAAAAAAAAATATCACAAGTTTAACTAGAAATACAATGGATTCACATAAGCCGCGGTAAACTTTACACAACGAAACCACAAAATGGAAATTCAAAGCCGTACCAAGGCATTCGCACGAAGCAATTTGGTATTCAAGACGCGATTCGAAAAGATTCCACAATCCATCCCATCGATTCATTGCACAAATTCGATTCGCTTTTTTCTTTTTTTCGTTGAGATACTTTTTCAGTTGTTTAATTGACTTTTTTCTTCAAGTGATGCAATCACTGTGACTTCGTGTGATTTTTTTGCAGTCTGTCAATCCATTGTTTTTGTTTACATTTTCTGTCGATTCATTGCTCCCGCTTGTGAGTCACAAAACGATATTGCTATTGTAAGCGATAAGTACTTTTGACGCATTGGAACTTCTGAATGAACGTCAAATTCGGATGATTTAAACGAGATTTAACTTCTATTGAATGCTCATTTCATTCTCGTCCGTGGTTGTGGTCGTACAATACGACTCATATTTTCCAATTAAATTCTCGTCACATGTACTTACAGTTCATTTGCGAAGCGATAAACTGAAATCAACCGAAAAATCAATTCAATGAAAACCGAAAAGAGAATTCACAAGAATCGACTTCTCGATGTGAAGAATTTCCTTCGTTTGTATTTTTTGTGAGTTTTTCTGAAGAAAAAATGCAAATCATTGCGAAAATTGCGGATGAAGCATTGTTCCGTCGTTTTAACCACCACTATAAATGGATCGTTTCCTAACTTTCTGTAGAAGGTTTTTTCTCTCGCTCTCTTTTGCAAAAAAAAATAGATTTGCTTCTACAGTGTTGCGATTAGTAATTTTTTCTCCGCGTATTTTTTTCTGTTTTGCTCTCTTTAATGTTCAAATTGAGTGAACACACACAAACATACACACATTATAGCCACCTTTCATAATGCTAATCGCTTCGATACACTCACTAAAACAGTATAACACACGAGAAGGGCAGAAAAAAACAAGCAGCAATAAATGTTTTTATTTTTCTGTTATTTTTCTCCTCTCTCTCTCTCTCTCTCTGGCGAAAAAAGAAACAATTATAATCATTAAACAGTGCGCGGTCAAATTTTCCAATCATTGAAACCCATTTCGTTGACTGGCAAAGATTTTCTCTTGAACTATCATTATCCGTAGATGATTCAGCAAGCAAAACAGCAAAAAAAGCCAACGAATATCGATGTGAAGCCCAAATGAATAAAAGGGAGCTGGCAGATTTGCGCGCACATACACACCACATTTCGGACGAAATTGAAATAGTTGCAAGAAAAAATCGATGGAAACTTTCGCAATGCTCGGATGTTAATAGAAATATTTCGATGATTATTCATGAATGAATTTGCTTTGAAAATGCCAAAGTTTCATGTTATTTTTTCCAACAAAAAATTCGGAATGAAGAAGAAACTTTTGAATTGATTGGTCTTTAAAATCATTTGCGGGCTTTTGAATAGAATTTTTCTTGTTTCACATTGGAATTCACACACTCCAATGACAGTTGTGGATTGGCATCCATTCGCTATTTCAAAACCAAACTTTTATTGCATACACACGCTTGAAATGTCGCCAGAAAAAGAAGAACTGCGAGAGAGAAAAAGCGGCATGATTTTCATATATTTCAAGGGCAAAATCCATTTAAGATGACGTCGATAAAAAAACACACAATAAAGCACATAGCGTTCATTTGTTTTCTGTCAATTGTGTTTTCTACTTCTTTTGGAAACTGTCGCGCGCTCGTTCATTTTGCAAGTTGACTTTGGCAGCCAAAAAAAAAATGTGTTTGGCTTTGGCCACGGTTCACTTCAATCGGGAGGCGTATAAGTATAGATTTTATTTACCCGTTTCGCCAGCAACAGTAACACTAACAGCAGCAGCAGCTGAATTAACAAAACTCTTTGGCGTTATTTGTAATGAACTCCACGACAGTAGAGTCGGTGTAAAGCATTGCTCTTTATTGCTACAACAAATGTCACTACAGCTATTATTGTATACGGAATTCATAATTCATTCTAGACTCTCTGAATCCGCGGCATTTGTCGAAAATGGTGTGATTTTTGTTGTTGAGCGGTGCGGATCACATTTGGTGTGGGTCGTTTCACATTTTTGCATAAACACTTTGAGATAAAAAAAAATTCGAGTCAATTATTCAAAACCAAAGAGAAAAAATAAACCATCACTAATTAAAAATGTAATATATCCATCACAGGGAGAGAGCGAACGAGCACTTTTCGACGGAAATCTTTTCGTCTGTTCCAACTGGATGCACGCAAGAAATATATTGTCTTAGGCGAATGTGTTGCCTTCTCCAAAAGATCAATCGAAAATAACCAATAAAAACTCCCGTAAGACACTTCCATCAAAAATCATCGGGTAGAAATACTTATTGCCTGACAAGAGAAAAAACTTTTCCAAAACGCAAATAAATGAGCGAAGCACACACGATAGAGTGAAAATGTTGTTTGTGCCGTTCAATGACTTCAGTCCAACTAAATTACAAATTATGATTTTTTGCGCTACAACGCTTGAAACACCGAGCGACTCTATAGCCCAAAAAGCGCTAGAGCACACCACACTCGCCTGCGAAATTAGCCAACCAGCCAGCCAGCAAAGAGATCGCACGCGCATACAACGTTAGCTATAGTTGAAAGAAAAATGAGTGAGAAGAGGAAAAAACAACAACAACTACGATTGAAAAGAAAGAAAAAAAAATAACACTGAAATCTAACGTACGCAATTCGCATTAGACACACGAATGAATTTGAAACATTTTTACGATGTGTAGTGCGTATCGTGTCGACGCTACAGCTTGACATGCTGGAAGAAAGGGAACGAATGAATCCGTAGCGACCGTTGAAAATGCAGATTGAAAAGCGAAGAACAAAAAAAGCTGGCAGCTGAAGCAGCGGCGGTGGTGGCACTCGGTTTGTACGCGCATTTCATCAAAACCGAAAGGTAATACCGTGGCTTTGCGTGTATTTTAGTGTTTGCTAGTCTGATTGATGATGGAGTGAATCAAATGTGCGGCGGATCTGTGATCGACGTAGCCGACGACGAGAGAGGGAACACCACTTAGACTCATGTACTGTACATGCTCGAGTTATAATTTTACGCTTGTACTCTCATTGCTTCAAACATTCCGCATACATTGACGAACACTTGACTTGTCGATTCAGTGGCGATGTAGACAACAATACCGACTCATGGCACGGCAAAACTATCAAACACTTGAAGCATGTGCAATGCACATAATCGAGATAATAACGTGTGAATATGGATGAGAAGAGTTGGTAGAAAAACGAAAAGCACATTGCACTGAAAACGCTGATGATTACCATAGCTCGATTCGGTATATCCTTTCGGTGATTATGGGTGCACGAGAGGAACGGAGGAAAATGCCGGAGAAAATTGCAAAGCACTTAAAATATTTGCGAAAAACAAGCCAAAAGCTATGATTGAGGGAATTTCCATTTTAATGTGGCCGCAATTTTTACATTCCAATGCGAGTATGGGCGATGGAAAATTACACACATTGATTCGGTGTAAACCTCTCTTTTTATTCGCTTCATGAAAATTTCACTCGTCAATTTACCGTCTTTTTGCGCTGCGGGGCAAAATTCGCAAACTAACCTTGAGCACATAACGTTCAATGGTTTTTTTTTTTTCGTTGCTTGATTTAATATATTTTTCGTGTGATCTGCTCGAAACCAACTGATGAATTGCAAATTAGAATCGGAATATGAAATTGTTTTAGATTGAGTTTCAATGGTTTGAAAACAAACGATCATCATTCGTTTGCGCTGGTTTCTTTGTTGCTGCAACCAAAACGCTAAAACCTAGCGACGTTTCTTTTCTATTACTTTTTTCACTTTTAAAATCAACATCGTGGACGAAATTCAAACACAAAGGCTAATTAAAATTATTAAAAACAAAAAAGGTGTTCGTTTGCCGAGTATTCAAATTGCTGGCTTTTTGGGCGAATGTTTTGATGCATGTTTTTTTGTGAGTGTTTGTTTATTTATTACTTCGATCGGTTTGAGTAATGGTTGTCGTCGTATGCTGTAGTCGACAAAAGCGTGACTATATTTATGTTGTCGCTGTTTTTTTTATTATTATTATCATTTACGTGTCTAAAAGACAAACATTCGTCGATGTTGTCACTATTGAAACAAACGACATTTTCTCCCAGAGTGTAAATGAAACTTTCCATTGGATAAAAGCAAATAAATAGAGATAATTGCGAAAATAGCTAAGAAACGTTAAAAAAAACTGGCAAAATGGGCTTGTGTGACAATCATATCGAAAGAAGACGGGTAAGAATTGGTAGACGTACAGAAAACGCGTGAAATATCAATGTTTTTGTGTGTGTGTGTGCGGTTTATCATTCGAGCGAAGGTACTCTCTCTTTCTCTTCCATCAAGCAATGACTTCTTAGTGAAGTTGCGTTCCAAGAAGAAAAGCAGAAGAAGAAGAAGAAACACCGTTGAATTGTATTAAAATGTGAATTTGATAAATGATTTTAATTGTGTGTGTTCATCGCTTTCGATGGTGTTTAGCCATCATCTCCTTCTCATTTTGAGCGAGCGCGCTAGCGCCAATTTCGAAGAATGTCTGTGTGTATATGTTTTCAAAAGATCGGCTGATGCTTTCAATTGCACGATACATTAAGTGTGTAGATTGTTATTTTCATCTGTTGTTCATGTTTTTAGTTTTCGTTGCTTTCGATTGCGCCGGAGATTTTCTCTAATAAAATTGTTTCGTGTACACGGCGCCGCCGTTGCTTGTATCTTTTTTTTTTAATGAGATTTGGTGCGGTTGAATGAAACAACGAAAAATGAATGCGAAAGTTATGAGATGAAACCGTTTTTATTTTCAGCTGCCTTCTTTTTTCTTATTTCGTGCAAAATTTATGAGGTCACCTATGTGTGTATGATTTTAATTACCGTATCTTCGTTACGTTTTTTTTTCGATGTGTGAGTGACGGTAGCGACGACTAATTGGAACGTCGATGGCAGCGGTAACAAAGAATCGAAATCATCTCTAACCCAAATAAGGGCTTCGCATTCTTAACCAAATAAGGTCACTCTAAGCTCTTCCGCTCCAGAAAGAAAAAATCCAAGATTTCGACATCAGCACCACACTTTTTTGCACTAACGAACAACCAAACACACTCGAGTAATGGAGTAAATGAATTTGAAAATAGTTTTAGCTTTGCTTCTTTTTTTCATCTCGTTTGTAATACATCTTCTTGGCAACATGCGATCGCATCGCAAACGATGATAGCTGTGCGAGTTTTCAAGTGAAGAAAATAGAAAGATATTGATAAAGATCGCTCACCTTTAGCGTGTGACGTTTTATTTGCCACCGGCGTACTAGTCTGGTTCACATGTTTCGTTGCCGACGATGACTTTTTGCTAGCGGTGATAGCAGCTCGTTTCTCTGAAACCGGTGACGATGAAGACGATCCAGTCGTTGTTGTTGTTTGAAGAATATTGTTTGTTGGAAACCGTTTATCTGCAAATAAAATGAAATTCACATACCAGTTTTTATGTCATTCACTTGGGAAAGAAAAAAGAAATTATGTAAAATATGAACTTTCGCGTAAATAAATCACAATCACATACACAAACATTTTAACCTTAGCATTTTTATGTGCAAACTTTCATTAATTAGACATAAATCGCTCAGTTTGGTATATAATGTAGCGGTAAATCAAAACGGAGCCCAGCATGAAATTGAATAAATATTACGAAAACGTGGGCAAAACTTACGCAACGCGACCGGCTTGGCCGATGGTGGATCGCTTTTTGCACTGGTGACTGTGTCAACTTTGATATCACTCGGATTAAATACATTTTGTATCGATGTACGTTTTCTGGCCGATGAACCTAGAAGCCACAGAAAAACCATTTCAATTAATTTCAAAATAAGAAGAAATTTAGAACATAAAACTTGGGAGAGAAAACAAAATCACTGATAAAACCATCACGACATTTAACACAAGAGTTGTACAGCTACCTTGCTTACGAAAGAATGAAAAATGCATTCGATAGATGTTTTTGACGTTATCGCGAATGAAATGAATGACGGCTTTGTAAATGTGAAATGGATCCATTGAATGATGCCAGATTAGAAAATTCCAAAGAACAATTCTTGACAATTCAAAACAAACTTCACGAATAATAATAATAAATTGCTTCTCTTTGATCACCATGGATCTCGTTTCGAACTGTACAATGTATATCACTCAACACAGAGAAGTAAAGAGAAGAGGAGAAAAACAATCCAAATGAACTGACATTACAGCATCCTCCGTTTGCGCATTGCTCGACAGATGACTCACTGAATGTCTAAAATTGAGCGCTGTGCGAAACACACAATGCCAACTCTGATTATTTCCGAATTACAACAGAAACCGATCAAGCGTTGCACAATCAATGTTGTGTGTGCTCGCAATTTTTTGTTTTTTGTTTTTTTTTCATTCATTTCGGCGTTAGATTTTCCTTCTTGATATAAAAATAAAGCGCGGAATTGAACCGCTCGAAAGCGAATTCGAATCGAGAAAGAAACAGAAATCACATTGATACAAAAAAAAAAAAGACGCAATTACCTCGCGCACGTTTACCGAAACGGCCGAAACGTTCTTGTTCGATATATTTACTGTGCACATAACGTTCGGATGCCGATCTTGCCAATTTCTCCTTCGATCCATGCGCTCCCATTGTGGCTGCTGTTGTTGCGATAAGTGATCATTAAATGAAATCAGATTCTCGAACGAGAAGAAAACAACGCTCGCGTTGCGTTCGCAGGGATTTGCACTTCAACGATCGGTCGATTGGTCTGTTGTTGAGTGTATTGTAGCGAGCCGGACTCGTTCTAAAGCCACTTGACTTTATTTAAATCCATCTAGTGTATACCACGCACTCGAACAAATTCATTTCATACACGATTTTTTTGTGTGTTGCTTCTACTGGGTTTTTTCAATTGTATGTTGGGCAATCGAATGGTTCCATTTAATTTTTTCTCTCTCCTGTTTCAAGCTTCAAACGTCTTGACTGTCAATATGCATCAAACACTTGGGTACTCTTGGATCGACAGCAATTGCATTGTTCTCGCGTGTCGGCTATTGACAGCCCACAGAGCGGCGTACGTATATATATTACACACGCTTGGCCACGTATTGACGGCAAATGCTTTTTGCATGTAATTCTTCAACAGAAAAAGCAGCGAAAAAAAAAAACGTCTCTTCACAAGAGAGCGAATTAGCCGTAACTAGAGCAGAATGGAATTACATAAAATATGTATTTTGCTGCAAAAGTTTTGTCTTCTTTTGTCGATGCCGATGCCGATGCTGATGCTGATATATAGCCTCGCGTCGTACAAGTGATATGTGTGTGCAACTGTTCTCTCTCTCTCTCTCTCTGTGGGATCGGATGCAACCGACAAAATGACTTCAACTCGTATAATAAATTTTAGTTTGTGTGTTTGTGAGTGTTCCACGCCGCTTGAATTTCCGAAATGAGGCTTCAAAAAGCGATTCAAAACGAGTCGATTTTGCACTCAAACAGGCGGAAAATAGGTACAATCTTAATTTCAATTGCAGCGCTATTTCAACAATCTCCTTGATGTATGTACTCAGTCGATGGGCACATGCGATTCAATTTCATATTCGGTTTTGTGGTTGTATAGACATTCACGGCTGTTTTTTTTTTGATTGACTAAGCGAAAACAGTCTCTATAATTATTATTGCCACTAGTAACAAAGCAATTCCATGCACTAAAGCGAAGAAGAGTGGAGATAGACAATCGATCACTTTAAATCACAAAATGAAATTGTTTCGAAAAGCAATTAGTTGATCACCGAATCCCGGCCGCATTGTTCCAAGAATAAAAATGACCGAAATGTGTTTGTATCGCACTGAAATCCGATGTCGTCGTCGACGTTGTCGTCGTCACCGATTTTTTTTTTTAATGCTTTTCACTGCGAATCGATTTAGCTGGTTTAACGTTAAAAATTTGGCTTCTTCATCGAAAATAGATTTTGAAAACGTCGAATATGATAGGAATCAATGCCGTCGTCGTTACCGTATTTTTTTTTTTGCTCGCTCTCTCCGGTTTACAGCGTTCTGCGCATAATTCGTTCATACAAATTAGCTGTTTGTGTTGCTTTTCTAGCCGATTTCGTTGTTATTCACTTCTTTTCTAAAATGTTTTCGAATTCACGGCGACACACAGAAGTGGAAACGGGCCAGTTTTCAAATAAACAAAGTCTCTCTTCGCACCTATTTTTATAGGCCATTCAGTATGTATATGGTTGTTTCAATTAGCATTTAGCGTGCTGTCCCGTTGTTGTCAACGTTATTGAAACGGGAGATGTACGCGCTGCAGCACAAAATAATGTATAGAGCGAGAGAGAGCGGTGCGTTAAATCGGGCCTCTCTTCGCTAATAATCCGGATATTTATATGCGTGCACGTTTCCACTGCGAGAACGTTTCAATGCTGTCCACTATTTATTGAAAACTTATTTATCTCTTTATGTCGCCGTCGTGTTACTCGTTATTGTTGCTTTTTTTCTGTCTCTCTTTTCATTTACTGTTGTACATTATGCGCAATTATGTCTGCAGTTTCAGTTGTTGCACACACGTTCTCTCGCTCTCGAATCGTGCACCAAAATGGGAAGTTGTGTCATTGGTTTTAATGCTTTTTTGCCCAGATATGCAGAGAAGAATCAACCTCCAGGTTAATCAATTCATTAACCCGGCCAATTGTGATTGCATTTGCGATCTCTTTTTTCAACTGTTCAATTCACTGCGTGTATTTTTCATATTTGGAGCGTATTGAGGCAGCATTAAAATTTAATTATTTTGGCCTTTTTTCACGATCTCAAACACAAAAACCGCACAATTAAAGACAGCACAGAAAAAAACACACCGTAAAACCATGAATTGAAAGAGTGAAACGAGCGATTTAAGTCGAACCACGCACAATGAATGTATTTGAATGAAAACTTCGTTCGTATTTGAACGTTCAACAAGTCTTAAAACAATTGAACCAATTCCCTACAATGCTTTTTATCAGCGCGCTCTCTTCACCACAATTGAATCACCGACAAATCAATTTTGACTACACTCTTCACAATCATTCCACTCGCTTTGATGATTATTACAGTAATTTTCTATTTTGACTTTGTTTCACGCTCGCACTTCTGAGTGTGTAGTTCTAGAATGATGGACAAATCACGATTGGTGATTTGATCATCCATTAACATATGCTTGATAAAAAAAAAACAACAAAATGTTTCTCTGGCGTAGAACGCAAATTGTGATAATAAAAAAAGACACAACGAAAAGCAGCACACACAGAGTTTGGTATGGTCTGAACGGTGACGCGTTTCCAATAGTACTGGAAGCGAGAAGCCTCTCAATGCACAAAATCGTTTATGTTGTGTGTTGTTTTTTTCCTTTCGATCTGACTGAGTTGAAATCAGTGTGTGAGCGCACCGATAGCGAATGTGTTTCGCGGCCGTTCTTTTTTCCACAGCGTTGCCGAAGCGGTGCAAAAGAAATGAAATAATCATCGAAACTAAAGCAGAAAAATGGCTTTTTTGTGTTATTTTTTTTTTTCGTTTTTCACATTTATACATTCATATCATTATAAATGTGTGAACGTTTTGGGTGCGAATTTTTTCTGCTTCTCTTTGTATTTCGTTGTCGTCGGTCGACTGTGTGTTTTTTTATTCGTTCGTAGTGATGTTTGTGTATTGTTATTTAAAGAACTAAACACGAATTGCGAAAGTCGTTGCAATGGGCCCTTGCTATCTATCTATCTAGATACGGCGAAAGAGATAGAGAGAGAGAGAGAGAGAGAGAGAGAGAGAGAGAGACTTTGTTATCCATTCTATTTGGTTGTGTGTATTGTTAAGCGAAACCAGTGTGAGTGTACGAAAGAAGCCTGTTGTCGAACACACGAAGGAATAAATACACAATACAATCAATTCGACATCATGTGTATATTTTACATTTGGTAATAAGTATGCGCTGTTGAGAAAGAGAACGAAATGAAATTGAAGAAAAAAAAGTCCACCATTCAGCCAGTGTGTGACGAAACACATACGGCTCTCATTCGTTCGATCTCGCTCTTTCGTTCGATACACACAACGGAACAACCGACGATCCATCGAAGCCTATTTATGTATGCAACTATCTGCGAAGAGCGATGAAAGAGCAGCTCAAACAGTCGGTAGACAAATAGCACGCAGAGCGACGAATGAAATACCGGTTAATCAGTAAAAAAAGAAAAGAAAATACACACTCACACAGCGAGCGAGAGCGCACATTGAATGGGGAGAGGAAATGGCCTTGTTAATATTCTAAAACGTACGTTTAGCAACATTCTTGTCAATCGTTCAACAGAACGTCCCTTTGATTTGAGGCTTCGTTCTCAGTCTTTTTTTCAATTTGAATAACATATTAATCGCTTCCATATAAAATACCACATAATTTTTCGTTCCTTCTATTCTGATCAAAATTTCTTTCTTTTCCGCTTCTCCTATTGAGTTTTCCATCATTTGGTTGCATTTGCTCTGCTCATCGCCACTCGTTCACACTCACACACGCTGAAGCGTTTCGACAGTGCGCTTCATTGAATATAAATAATTTTATTGCGGAATCAACTGTCAACAACATCTAGAGTAGCTTATACACATTGTTGGTCGACGTAACATACATCTTATGTTAGCACACAGCACACTACACGAGAATGAATGTGAAACAACTGCCATGATTTGCACACAAGTGCTGAGATGACAGAAGAAAAAAAGTTCCCGTGTTCAATGTTTGTTATTGTTTTTATACACGCACACGTATCGTCATCGCGAAACAGATGCTTCGAGCTATAAGTTCAAATGTGGCGTACGTCATGGTTGTGGTTTTGGTCTGATGTCGCGAGCAATATGTTCTGTTCAATAATAATTACACGCAATGGCGAGAGAGAGAGAGAGAGA